ATATTATTCCCAATACTGTTCCATAAAATGTCACAGTACTGTGCACCGCGAGTCATACGCTCGGTAGAACTGATATACCGGGAGCACTATTTTATATATTCAGAGTAAAACTATCGCGAGTTGCTCGCGAGAGTATCTCTCGCGAGTGGACACTGCGTCTGAGAGTGACTGTCTGAGAGCATCGCTCAACTCTCTGAGATTTACGACTCGAATAAACAGTTGCTTTGCAAACACGAAGCAGTTTCGTATTCTTGAGAGAACTCTCGTGCGAGTAAAAAAAGTCAGGAACAAAAATTAGTGGAGAAATGAAATCACCGGATACACAGTTAAGAAATGCAAATTCTGTTAGAGTCTTACTGTTTTATTGTATCCCTGTCATGACGATTATTTTATTAGATTAAGATAGTTTATCATAACTTTTATCATTTCGAGAATAAATAATTATTAGTTTCTGATTGCTTCGAATATAAGCATTGTGCCATCAAAGAATTCCTTGTTTCGATTAATTTGTCATTAATTATTTTTCATTATTTTTGGTTTTTATTAAACACTAATGTACAACAATCTTTGTAAATAGTACTCAATATGAGTTACTAAGTGGTTAATTTACAAACAGACCATCATCCGAAGAAACCGAGACGGAATATAAGTTATAAGTATGGTCATACTCTTACCTTGAACCGCATTTGTCTTAAAATATGACAATTACATTTTTCATTCCTTAGGATGCGTAGAATCATGCTGTAAAAAAATTTGTCGTTCCGGCCGTATGCCAAAATTGGCCTTTCTTTAACATCCTCCTTTAAACGAACGAGTTCTGTACATGATGAAATAAGAAGTTGGCGACCAGAGGATAACGTGAATGCTATAGTTAAATCATCAATGAAAATCTATGGTTGTCTCTTCGCGCAGCAGCACACAGACTCAATCTCCCAAAGGCAAAGGAAAGTTACCTAATTCGACAGATAACTATTGCTACATGCTCCTCTGTATTCATCTTAACGGTCTGCAAAAAGAAACATAAATTAAACCATTTTCATTAAAATAATAACTGACTTTTGGTCCACCCTGTACTGTGAATTGGGACACATTCAACTGAGAAATTAAATACAATGTATAATATTTAAAAAAATATTGTTATCTACGGAAGTAGCAAAAGAGTGTACACAGTAGTATCCATCCAAAGTCAATATTTGTTTTGTATAAACTTATTTACAATAAATTAATATTTTGTCAGATATCCTCGCGATCTTATTATAAGTTGTAACCTGTTATGCATAAACTAAACTAGTTTCTCTTGTGAAATTTCGATTTATTTTGTTCCATTCTTCTGTCGACATGTTTTTAGAATTTCTTTCCTGAATGATCTACATTTTTGCATAGTAAGTTTCCATTCTGCTCGTAAATCCTCAATAGTGTTTACGTCGAATGATTGCGGTGGCTTATTTAAAGATTAAGGTACATTGAAAAGGATCCATTCTTTGTAACTCGAGCACAATACTTCAAATCATTGTCCTGTTGCAAGCAGGATCTTTCAGTCTCAATTTTTCTGCACTTGTTTGTAAATTTTGCTTTCACGTATCGATGTACACAAAGCAATCCATTGTACCTTCAATGAAATGCAGACACGCCAGAGACTATCATGCCAAAAATTTATGAGCGGTGAGCGTAAATTGTGAAAAAAATTATGTTTTTCGAAAATTATTTACCACTACAATGTAGGACATTGAAAACCACACAACTTTGTAATAAAAAATGTAAAAATGCAATTTCTCGTTGGTGGATGATTAATCCCGTGCACGTGTTCTACTGCTGTCGGCAGACTAACAGTTTTAAACACACAATCCAATATACATATATATTTTCATATATGAATGCAACAGAAGAGGATCCTTCAACATGTATTGACTTTACCAACTTCATTTAAATATAATTCCTAAACTCACCGCTCTAAATCGTAGAGGGCGTAACAGATCCACTGAAATTTTTCTCGGTCGGTATTTCAGATCGTGAGACACGAAGTCCCATAAGGTGGTAGGACTATTCTGTATACATATACCTCGTTTGTGGTAATCGGTCTACCCTGCATCTCGTCTGAGGTATTACATCTCCTACTATTAATTGTTTATTTCGATAAATGTTTCACTATAAAACAGTATTTAACTTCTACTGTAACAAATCAATTATTTGTAAGGCAACAAATCAGGAAATGTAAAAATTCAACATTGAATGCTTAAATTTAATATTAATAGCATATTCTCAGATTTTAATACAAAATTTTAAATGATACAATTTCAAATCGACACAATGTTAAGTCACATATATATTAAACATAACACAGAATATATAAAATACAACACAAGTATAAATAAAATTGATCAAATTATATGATTTAAATTAAAACATTATAACCCCAAAAGTAAGTATTAATTCTGGTTCAGATATTCTATAACATTAATATATTTATTTTTGGCTATAGTACAATATACAAATTTAATTCACCATATTTCGTTCAAAAATTATATATAAAAGTAATTGTATTACAAGTGTTAAGAAAATTATGTGAATTCTACGTTAACACATTATCCAGAATCGCCAGAATGACATCATCAGCAGGTTCGTTCCGTTTCGTCAGTAGATATATTATTAGCATACTTTTATTTGCATACTCATTGGAATAATTTTTAAACGATACTAGAACACAATTGCGTATAAACTCGATGCAATATTAGCACTCTTGTTTAATGACTCTATATTATATGTTTGAAATTTGGAATTTGTTATTATTAATTATAGATGTAAATTTGACTGTAATATGAAACATTGATACGGAACTTTTCTCATTAAATGTTTAATCAAGTACTAAATTAACTTTAATTATTACTGACATAGTAATATGTCACTGATTATTTCGTTATTAAAGAGGTATAAGTAAAGTATGCATTACGTTTCCTCCTATGCACTGCTTCTTATTTTTTTCTTCATACTGTAATATTTTACTCTGAATTTTTTAATAAAATAAAAATTCCGGTTAAACTATTATAACGATTATTTCGTTAATAAAATAAGATGCGACATAATCATGAATATCTGTGGCTTAACAAAAGAATTATTACGTTTCAAGTGTTACAATATCCCATTTTGCGAGAATTGAAATATCGAGAAATATTTGTAAAAAATATACCTTTGTATCACATATACGAGAGGTATCGATGCGTTCTTCGTGCTCCGTTATTACCATACATAACGATTCTTAAGGTAGAAGTGAATGCTAGGACTGTGGTACCGTGGGCGAAAGAAGAGAAATATGGCACAGCCAGGGACGTATCCAGTCAAAGGAAATAGATCACCGAAGAAACAATTCTTTCGTCCAATATTATTACTTAATAACTTACGATATTTTGCATGTAGAAACTTAAGAATTAAATTTAAAAACTAATTACATAACAATCTCTAAAAAATTACAAACTTTTCTAATTTCAATGCCAATAGTTTTGCATGGATTGTGATAAATAGGATCACATTTATTCAAATATTAAAAATGATTTGAAAGAAGCAGGAAACAAACGATTCTTTTATCATAAAATACTAATAACATTTTTAGCCAAATAATGTAATACAGTTATTCTCGAATCAGCGTACTATAATAAACTGAAACAAAGAAAAAGACTGAAAAAAGTCATTATTGGTCAAAGTTCGATAAAAACGTACTGAAGTAAAGCTAATGTTAACCTTCCACTTTATTTATCTATGATATCATCGATGTAAAGGTTAACAAGCTGCGTTTGTTTCCCATAACTTGCATAAAGCATATGTATAATACAATTACACGTATAAACATATAAAACTGCGTTTTAGTACACGAAACGCTGTCACGTTTGTTGGAATAAAATCGATAGCAGTTTTTTTCCAAATCGTTAGGATTAGTTTTCGTCCCTGTACGTAGGAGTAGCACGACTTCTGCGAACGCACCGACCGGACAAACTACACTTGCGCGTGTGCGTTTGAAGAGTGAACGTGAAAAGGGCGCGCGCATGCGTACTGAATGCAACATTTCACGTACCATGTTTAATTCTAAAGAAATGTTACAAATCGTTCACCGGTTGAGAACATGTTCAATAAGAAAAGAATGATAATAAAATGATGTATGACAGTACATTTGAATACTTTACACTGTACATTGAAAATACAATGCAACAAATTCAGAGCAAACCTGAGTGTCTGTGATTGATCAAGCCTTATTTTTTTAAATTGCACAAAATATCTAAATGCATTATTTCAATTCACTATCTGCTATTTTAACATATCTACTTTATCTTACATTCGTTACAATTGTGAAATAGATACAAGTACACTTTTATATGCATTGAGTTTGATTATTATAATAATGAGGTTATTTGTGAAGTTTTGTATACAATAACTATTCGGTTAAGTTACGATATTTAATTTTACTTCGTTAAATATTCTACAAAGATATAAAATTGTTGAATTAGGTTTTTTGTACCATTTAGTTAGTTTCATTTTCTAACTATCACTACAATTTCTTCTTACTCTAAATCTACTAGTGAATGTTTAGTGACGTTTGAACGGGAATATACACAAAATATTGAAGACAGAAAAGACAAATCGTAAAATAAAAGGTAAAATACATCGTTAGAATAAAATTTTATAACAAAAATCTAACCTTTATCCAGTGACTCTTTCCTGATTTAATATGTTATTCGATAATTTATTCACACGATTTTTACGAAACACTCAGTCGAGTGACGAACAACTGAACACATTTAAACGGAATAATTTACAGTTCACGATTCTCCTCTTTTACGCAGAATTTCTTGAATCCACGTCATAGCAAGATCGAGAAAAAGCTTCGAAATTGACACAATCGACGAATCAAGTAGTACCTGACTTTAAGAACCTTACGGCGCATGCGCATACACTAGTTCTGCGCAACGATGCGCACTCACGAGCGAAACGCCGAGGAGACTGAGCCAGTATTGGACGGGCACTCTACGGTGTCACGTGCACTGTCTTTTCGATTTATTTGACGGGTCGATTCGTTCAACGCGCGAAATTTCTCGACGAAACGAAAAAACGAACAAGCGAACGGTGAAACGACCATCGGTGCGTCATTACAAACATCGGATTACCCTTTCTCGCGAGGTAAGTTCTACAATTGTACTGACCCGAGGTTCGACCCAGGACAGTTTCTTATTCGAATCACATTATAAGGTTACAACACTCGCGTTTGTCTCGTTCATTCAATGTCGTCGTTACGTATTTTTGGCGGCGAACGTTCGTCAGCCAAGAAGATCGAAATCGAGGGTACATATCCGACACGAAATCAATTCACACCCGTGTGTTCTTATACTTATTAATTAGGGATGAACGTAGGTAGTTGTGCTTTTTGCACGTGCTAAATAAGTGCCGCCTTATGGTGATATCGTTTGCATACAATCACGAATGCATTCCGTTCGTTTCTCGCTGAATTATTCAATCCGGTGATATTTTATGCTTCGTTGTCGTTTTATCGTCTGACGCGTTATTAAATGCACCGTTAAAGACAGAAACGGTGGAAAGAAGACCTTAAGGCGGAGAGAAGTGACGATTGCTATCGGTCAGATTGTTCCATCCGAACAAACAGCAAACGGACGATCTTTTGTTTGGCACGGTTTATGACACGCTAGCGAAGAAAGGCTATTTCTGAGTTAACGATATTAGCTCATTTTGCACGATTTTCCTGCATTTCGCGCCGGGAGAAATTAGTCTTTCGTAAAACGTTCGTAGAATTACACTTTTTTCTTCTCAATAGCCGCGAAGACGTGTCGTAGAGCGAAGGTTTCCAAAGGGCTAACTCGAACCCCGTTGGGTCAAGGCCTGGTGGAAATTCCCGACCGTTGCCAAACTTTTAGCAGATCGCGCGTCCCACCAGGTATCCCACCACTCTTTTCAGGAAAGAAGCGCGCTAAGGGCGCACTGGAAGGGTGTTCGCGATACGCGTTAGACGCGCTGATTGGCTATTAGCATTTTTTCGTTGCAGCCAATCAGCGTGCTTGAAATTTCAGGCGCGAATATACCGACTGCCAAAGAGTCAGTCGGTCAACAATCTTTAAGTCAAATAGCCAAAGTCAATCGTCCTCGCGTCCACAAGTATTCACGTATTTCCTAAAGCGTTTAACAGTCGAAAACGATATTCCACTAAAAATCAAGCATCCATCTTTCGGCACGACGAAAGTATTCAGCTATAGATACCATTTACTCTGTATCGTGTTTAAACTAGTTACGATATTAATTTGGCGGGTAACTGTGCGATCGAGAGTTCATCACTCGGCGCGCAGTACACAGACTGATACTGCAAGAAAAGTCTTTAAAACCGACAACTCGTATTCCATGAGATAGAACAAAGTAGCTGTAAATTGCAATTCCAGGAAAAAATGCAATCGAAGTTGGGAACTGGTTTGCGTGTACCATTGTAAATGCGATTTGTCAAATAGCGATTATATCGGCGGATCGTTTGTCGATCTTTGCAAACTGAGGCTCCTATTTACTTTGAATTACTGTAACTGCAACGGCCAATATACTACTGACGATGGTGTGCAGCAATTAATCTTGACGCGTCGAAAAACTCTTGACGCCTTTGAAAGGCTGACCACGAACAGTGGCCGTCGTTATATCACGTATGTCATTGGCTAGCACGTTTCACGTTTACTTGTATACTAGAGAGGATACAGCGCGGGCAAAAACATCAATCTGAATTTGATTCGATTTCTTTGAACGTGTCGTCAGATACAAAAGCAAACGCCGCAAAATTCGAACGGCGAATACGTGTCGTGTGCTTAATTTTACCACCGTGACTCACCGTGTATATTTTCTCTGCAACCGTGCCCTCCTGAATGTCATTTTCAAAGTCCTTCTTGCAATATCTCACGGGGAAATAAATCGTGAATAAAGAGTGTACGATACTAGCGTTCTAACAATACACAGTTTTTCAAAATTTTGAACTTTTTCGATTCAGAGACAGGCTTCGTATGCAAATTTTCAATCATTATTATAAACATTTGTTTTTATACTTGTTAGGTCATCCCATAAGTTCGCGCCGAATTTTATAATCTTGATCGGTATTCCCAACGAAATTTTAAATTTGATAAAAAAAACAGTGTAAGGACCTTCTTATTTCACAATTTTTTGTACTTTGTGGAAAGACTATTACATATGTCGTCGCTAGAGATTTCGATAAAATCTCTGATAGAAATTTGATAAAAACAAAAAAGTGTAAGGGCCTTCTCATTTCACAATTTTTTGCATTTTTTGGAAAGACTATTATGTCGTCCTTGGATTTTCACGAAAATATCTTTCGCTTCCGGCACGAACTCGAGGGATGACCTAATACAATTTTCTCGAACATAACCTACAAATATCCTTTCTTACGAATGTAACCAAACTTGACAAATTACTAACGACTATTCACATCGATTATCTATTAGTAAACGTAGACTGTGTAGATATTTATAAACAAATAATTCTTGTGGTTGAGGATTCAAGATCGCTTTCACTTTCATATCCGATATCAGTGGAGTAACAGTATCCACATTAAACTGCTCAGTCTTTTAACAGCTATCGTAAATAATAAGGTTTTGTAATAACATTTTATCCAAGCTGTCAATGTGCCGCAAAATTAAGATCCTCGTTCGTGATATTTCACGGTAAATTGTTAATTATGGGCATGCACACGATCGTGCCACGTTTACTACACGTTCTTCGCAGCACACATAACCTAGTAAGCAGATGATCGTTCTCGGTGGATGGGCGGAAGGTCAAATCCCACTTTCCGTCTTCGTGGATCTTTCATCCATGTAAGGTGTGCTTCAAGGACCAGAATGTGCCCGCGCGCCCACGCACTTTCAGTGATATTCACGTCGTAAAAGAAAAAGTACAATTATCGTGAAATATATTTACTAAGTATTAACTTTCCTGATGTTTTTTTTTTTGTCCTTCGCTGATTGCTATTATGAATCCACGATTAAAGTTGAAAAAACGCGTGCAATTTTGTTGACATTAAAAATAGATATTTATTCGACCGACATTTAATTTTTTATTAGTTTCCTATTGGTGTTGTAATATAAATTTGAGGAAAGGTAGAAAATTTCGGAAATTCCTAGGATTTCAAATAAGTCATTCGCATTCGGTTAAGGTTTCCCTTCGAATTTAAAAAAATTATAATGCACAAATATTTAATAAAGGTAGAGTTTAACTTTTTATTCGATTTCTACATAAATTGGAAAATTTTGGAAATTTAGGAAGATTCTCGGACCTGAAATTAGCCGTTCACCTTTCAGTTAAGGTTTCATCTCTTTGAATTTTACCAAATATTTGTGCATTATAATTTTTTCAAGGTACAGTTTAACTTTTTATTCGATTTCTACATAAATTGGAAAATTTTAGAAATTTAGCAAGATACTCGGACCTGAAATTAGCCGTTCACCTTTCAGTTAAGGTTTCATCACTTTGAATTTTATCAAATATTTGTGCATTATAATTTTTTCAAGGTACAGTTTAACTTTTTATTCGATTTCTACATAAACTGATTACGTTGCAAGCACAAAACCTAAACTTACAGTATAATTGATACTAAAATTGTAATATAAACTAAAGAAACGAAGTTTAAATTTACAATATAAGCATCATTTCTAGTTGATCCGTCCAAACCTGTCATTAATATTAATGTCATTAACATAATTCATATTAAGCGGAGATTTCTAAACATTTGAAAGTAGCTTTTGCAATAAAGAAGATATTACAATTAAACGCGATTGTAATATATGCGTTCACATTACTATTATTCGTAATCGACAAATGTCTTTCTCAAATCGTAAACTTTTAAGATTATGCATTACTCCGCACGCATACTCGCTGTTCGAAAAATTGCTTCGATGTAAAAACGAAATGAATATAAATAATGCTTAATCTTTAAGTCGTCGAGAAAAAGGGGACACCGAGCAATGAAAGCAGGCACAAAAATAGACGCTACGCCAAAAACATGTCAGCCTATAGTTCATAAAACCCCCCAACCGACGCGTCGGGCAATGGACCAAACGCAAAGGAGCCTCGCCAATTTGTTTTTCCTGTAATTGTACCGTTTTCCGTGAAATGCTCGGACAAACAAATTTGCTACAAATCAATTTCCAATCGACTTGCGTTGTTCGATGAATCGCGAACGAATGGGAACGATTATTTTATATTTATCAATAGAGAAAATGTAGCATCCCTTGCTGATATAAAAATGCAAATTAATTCGTAAACTAAACTCACCTTTCTACTGTACCATATTTTTACGTTTTACCAGATTTGTATTTTGCCGCGTTGCATTGGAAATGTGATGTTAACATTCACACGTTTATGATACGTGCTGAAATATGACCGCAATTAAAAAGTGTCATTGTTGCTAATTGCTGTGCAGTCGAAGATGGAAAACAATTAACAATTCTGCTATTGTATTTTTAAGAAGAATCACAGTTAGTTGTTCTTGTAATATTATTCTACGAGAGTTGGAATAAATAAAGGTTAGGTTAGGTTGCGTTAACCAAATCGATATTTCTCGAGTTTTCCATCGAAAATTGTAATTCAACTTCTAAAGTATATGTTTCACAAAAAAGTGTTTCATGTAGAAATTGCAGGATATCAAAAGGAGCATATGCTGAAACGATTTTTTTGTAAATAACCTACTTTTCAACGAGATATCAGAGTGACCTTGAATTTTTTAAATAGAATGCATACCTTTTTGTATCAAAATTTAAAAGAACAGTGAATATCGTGTAAGAAAGTATTGAGCTTTGTTTGTCTTAAACCTAAAAATTAGCGAGATATTTCCAAAAATGTTTTTCATGGTCTCACTACCTATTTTATTTGCCATAGATGCTCAAAACGATACTTGACGTTAATTCATAATAGAAATCGTCTACTTTTTTACCATTCTACAGTTTGATTTTTATTTTTCTCTCTAATAATCGTATAATTTATAAAATATTCGAACAATTTATAATTTTACGCAAATTATAAAATTTATCTTATAAAAGATTCATTCCTCTTTTAAATTTTGATACAAAATGTTACGCATTCCGTTTAAAAAATTCATCACCTTGATATCTCGTAAACAAATAAGTTAT